ATTTGTGAAATTATTTTAAATCCGAAAAATTTACATATTCAGGTTACAGAATCTGTCATAAAACCCGTTTTAACGAAGAATTTGGTAAGCATTAGAAATTTGAATAAATAGTAATATTTAAAAACTAATTTTGTTTTACTTCTTAGAAAAAAATTACAAGTAAGGATAATTATTCATATTCCGATAATGACGAAATAGAAGCTTCCCAAGAAGCTGAAGAGACAAACAAAGGAGTTGATGAAGCAGCAGAAGTTGATGAAGCAGAAGAAGTAGCTGACGAAGCAGAAGAAGTATTACAAGAAGAGGAAGAAAACGAGATAAGAGAAGAAGACGAGGAGGAAGGCGGAAGAATTTATATAAGTAGTACGGATGAAGAGACAAAAGAAAGAATGAGGCGATTAAAAAAACAATATAAAAAATAAAATAATAATTGACTACGCATATATTTTTTATATTTTAATATCCTCCTATATATTTTAATATCCCATTTATTTTAATAAAGAAGATAATTTTCAAGTCAATAAATAAATACATGTTCAGGTAAAATATATTTGATCATTATGTAGTTGGCCACTTTATTTTGTGTAAATGTGAAATATTACGATTGTAATAAATAAGAATGATTATTTTAGAAACTTGAATTACCAGATGAGATAAGTTACGTAGCGTAATATAAGTTATTGAATTTATTACAGAATATTTTGACCGTAATGCTTTAAAATAGTCCTATTCATTTCTGGTCGATCGCATTTTTCGGTGTACAATGCAACCATTTTCTGAACTTTTAGCCCGTTTTGAATACCAAAAACAACCAACCAAAATTAGATAATTTCTGTTTACGTGATATTTAAGAAAAAGACATAAGTTATAATTTTCTTTTTAATCCTAACAAAATCAGTTACAGGAAATACAAGGAGTTTGAACTAAATTTCAATCTAAAGCAGTTCAATTTGCGATCGAAAATAAAAAATTTTATTGGATAATTTTTGTACAACAAAATCTGACCGAAAAATGTACCCGACCAGAAATGAACAGGGCTAATATTTACGATCACGTATTATTACGGAATATTTTGACTGTAATGCTTCGAAACATTTACGATCACGTATTATTACAAAATATTTCGATTGTAATGCTTCGGAACATTTTCGATCACGTATTATTACGGAATATTTCGATCGTAATGCTTTGGAACAATTGTGATATCATAATTCTACGGAATATTTCGATCGTAATGCTTTAGAACATTTACGATATTGTAATTCTACGGAATATTTTGACCATAATGCTTCGGAACATTTACGATCACGTATTATTACAGAATATTTCGATCGTAATGTTTCAAAACATTTACGATCACGTATTATTACGGAATATTTCGATCGTAATGTTTCGAAACATTTACGATCACGTATTATTACAGAATATTTCGATCGTAATGCTTCGGAACAATTGTGATATCATATTATTACAGAATATTTCGATCGTAATGCTTCAGAACATTTACGATATCATAATTCTACGGAATATTTCAATTGTAATGCTTCAGAACAATTGCGATATCATATTATTACAGAATATTTCAATCGTAATGCTTCGAATATTTTCGATCATGTATTATTACAGAATATTTTGACCATAATGCTTTGGAACAATTGCGATCACGTATTATTATAGAATATTTCGATCGTAATGCTTCGGAACATTTACGATATCGTAATTCTACGGAATATTTTGATCATAATACTTCGGAACATTTACGATATCGTAATTCTACGGAATATTTCGATCGTAATGCTTCGGAACATTTATGATATCGTAATTCTATGGAATATTTCGATCGTAATGCTTCAGAATATTTACAATCACGTATTATTACAGAATATTTCGATCATAATGCTTCAGAACATTTACGATCATGTATTATTACGGAATATTTTGATCGTAATGTTTCGAAACATTTACGATTACGTATTATTACGGAATATTTTAATCGTAATGCTTCAGAACATTTACGATCACGTATTATTACGGAATATTTTGATCGTAATGTTTCGAAACATTTACGATCACGTATTATTACGGAATATTTCGATTATAATGCTTCATAACATTTACGATATCGTAATTCTACGGAATATTTTGATCATAATGCTTCGGAACATTTACGATCACGTATTATTTCAGAATATTTCGATCGTAATGCTTCGGAACATTTACGATCACATATTATTACAGAATATTTTGACCGTAATGTTTCAAAACATTTGCGATCACGTATTATTACAGAATATTTTGACCGTAATGCTTCAGAACATTTACGATCACGTATTATTTTGGAATATTTCAATCGTAATGCTTCAGAACATTTACGATCCCATATTATTTCAGAATATTTCGATCGTAAAATTACGTAGATTTACGGAAATCCGTAAATCTACGGAACATTATGCCATAAATGTACGTAATTTTACGAAAATCTGTAAACTTACGGAACATTATGCCATGTTTAAATTCCTGATGTAGTGAAATCACTATTTATACTGATTCGAATAATATTATTACAGGATATTATGATATTATAAATAAAAATAATTTTATTATTTCGCCAAGAAAATTTTTTAAGATTAGAACGAATAATATTTACTGGAGTATTCTTTGAGAAATTATTGTTACAAATAATTTTACTTTAGATTTCATTAAAGTTATTAAAGAACATAGTAACGATTTTTTTAATAATTACATCGATAAGTTTATTACTCATACTGACGAATTATCAAATTTAGTTTTCAAGCCAAATAATCTGAATAATTTAGACTATATTTCACGATGGAATAATATTATAATAGAATGTAATTTACATCAATTTTTGAAGAAAAAATCAATGGTACAATATTGGAAAAAAATTTTGAATTTGAATCGAAATGGTAAATATAGACACCCTTATGTTAATGTTGATTGGCATTATACATTTTTACTGCTTAATCGGGACATTGAAGATAAAGTTGAGTCAACATATTTTACATCTATGTTTTCATTAAAACGGAAAAAACAATCAGTTAATCTTTTGACTGAAGAAATTCCTATTGTAGAAAAAAGGAAATATTTAGCTCATAAAATATTTGATAATTGGAAATGTTTCTTCTGTGAACAACATGATGAAACATTTGATCACGTATAGATGTGTGAGTTACGTGCTGATTAAATGAATACTATTATTTGTGAAGTAAAAGAGTTTTTTGAAGAAACTTGTAATTCTTTGTTAATTGAAGCAAAAAAAGATCCTATTATTGATAGTGATTTGATTAATAAAATGACATTTTGGGATCGTACCTATAGTGAAACGAAAATTACCTTCATAGATTTGATTAAAGGTATAATTTCTTGTGAATTAGCAGCATATACATCCTTAATTTTTGAAAACAAGAAATTACAAGAAAAATTTCTGGTTTTATTAAGAAATTTTATTTTTAACAAAAGTTGGAACTTTTGGATTAATAGATGCTCGAAGCAAAAAGAAAAAGAAAGAAGATTAAAAGTTAATCTCAAGAAAGTTAAAGAAAATCTTAATGAAGATAAATATATTGATCCTAATAGAAAAATTAATCAACTTAACCTTTTTAGCGGTTTAGAAAATTTACGATCGAATATATATTTTGGAACGAATATCATGCAGGGTTTTATAGTTTTAGTTAACTAAGCTCTTTGCTCTTTATTACTTATTTTTAGGGGTTAGTAGTTGAATGGAGTTCAGTTGTATTAAGGTGTTGAAATAAAAAATTAATTTTACCCTAGGAGTCAAGTTTTTAGAGCAAGATTGATAGAACGTCTTAAGTGTATATTACTATAGTAGGTCTCAAATCCAGGTCATAACTTATATAGAAACTAGTTAGTTAGTATTCGTTAGTTTAGAATCAGGTACCTGCAACTATTATTATAAAATTTTGTATATTTGTATTGTTCTTTACAAATTTAATCACTAATAAAAAATAAAAAATAAAAGACAAATCAGCCCATATGTATAAAATGTATGATAATTAAGTTATAGTTAATTGCAAAATTATAAAACTACCTTATAATTTTTTAATTTAAAAATTTAATATTTTAAATTTTTCAAAAACCAGTAAAAAATCAAGTTAAAAACCTGTTTATTCAATTTCTTAAATAAAAATAAAAATATATTATATGATTCAATATAAATAAATTATTTTAAAATCTTTATTAATTTTAAGGAGTTAAAGTTATTACCAAAATAAGTATTTAAACTTGCTTTTTTACTAATTCTTGAAAAATTCAAAATATTAAATTTTCAAATTAAAAATTATAGAGTAGTCGTACAATTTTGCAATCAGCTGTAAGCCTGTAATAACAATATTTTATGATTAGTGAATTCTGAAAAATCTGTAAAATTTTTTTTTATTCCTGCATAAATATAATATTAATTTAAATAATAAAGAATTTTTTTTTTTTTTAAAAAAAAATTTTATTAAAAAAATATTTAGTTATTACCTTATATTGCATCTATTTTTAATTCAATTAATTTTTACAAATTATTTTTTAAAAATTCAATTATTACTAAAAATATATATATATTTTTTATTTTTGTTAATTTTTATGTAATTTAGGCTGTACCAATTCAATTTTTCGTTTAACATAACCTCCTCCCCCCTGTTTTTGGATTTTTTATGTAAAAAAAATACATGTAGTTTAGGCCAAAATTAGACAAATCTTTAAGTCTTGGCTGGAATTATCATCTAAAATTTTTGCTCACTCTTTTGGTCAAAATTTTGGCCAAAATTAGTGGTAATTCTGGCTATATATTTTATTTTATGTATTATTTTTTATTCTTCTCAATCTCTAGATTGGAACCCTTATATTATGTTAAACAAAGAATTGGCTTGAAGCGACCTTAATACAATAAAGTTAGGGTACTGTCAGATATTACCTAATATTACTTTAATATAAGAGCTTATTCCCCTTTCCCTAGGTAAAATATGTTATATGTATAATTCCTTATATAGTATTGTATATAACCTAAGATTTTTAGTTACCCCCTTCCCCTAAAATATTAGATAATATCTGATAGCACCTTTATTATATGATTCTGATTATTTTAATAAAAAAAGTTAATTTAAAAAAAAAATAAATTTTTGTATTTTTAATTTTCATTTTTTTTTTTTAATTATTAGTTTTTATTAGAAATAATATATTTACCGCACCCTGCGTTACAAATTTATATATATTTGTATGTTTATCATTTGCCATTTTAAGGGGGTGCAGTGTATAAACTAAAGNTGTATGTTTATCATTTGCCATTTTAAGGGGGTGCAGTGTATAAACTAAAGATTGACATAAACAATTTACAAAAAAGGAAGGATGCGTTGTAACGCAGGGTGCGGTAAATAAATTCACTCTTTTTATTATTACACTTTTATAAAAAAAATTTTAATTTCTTGTAATAAAAAAAAAAATATCAATAAATGGGCAAATATCACATATTTGAAAATTATATGTTTGTTTATAATGAAAAGTTGAAAACATTTCTATAAATAAATGGCAATAAATTGCAGCCAAAAAATTAGCTAAAGTTTGATTAATTAGCATTAAATTATAAATCAGCTTAAAACTGGCTGGCTGAACTTTAACTGATTTGAACTATTTGATTAGTAATAATTTGTATATTTGGAATTTGGAATTATAATAGCCAAAATATATAGATTTAATAGGTAAATATCATTTAAAATATGTCATTCCATGGCTAATACCCTATTTTTAATATTAAATAATCATAATATTTATATAATATAGTAATAATTACTGATGATTTTATTTAAATAAATGGATTATTAATTGATTTTGTTATTTTATTGGTAATTTAAATTAGTATTAGATAGTAGATAGATTAAAATTTAATAATTTTGGATAGAAGTTAGATAGATTTTAACATTTTTTTTTACATTTAAAAATTTTGAAATTATAGATATTTGAAATTACTCTTTCTGCCAAAATTTAAAAAATCATTTTAGTAGTCCAATTTTAATAAACTTTAGAACTACAAAAGATTTTTTGAGTTGTTAAAAAATGGGCAACTTTGAACCTAAAGTATGACTTATGACTTATTTTAGAAATGTCTGGTTATGTATATCCTTTTCTCTACTATTTTTGCATCTTTTAATATTTACAAGAATAGAATTCCTTTCTAAAATTATTGTAGTGAAATTATTAACCTGCAGCTTTATGCGTGATTTATGCTTTATCCGTTATTATTGATTATCCAGATTATCCAAACTGCAGTTATGCATTGCATGATCCTGACAATGCGCTGTTAAAAATGTAAAAATGTTTTTTCACATGAAAACTTTCTAGATATTTTTTTGTTTTTTTGAATATTTCTTATTCAAATATATTTCTTAAATACCTGCAAATGGAGGAGAATCTGCTTCGTAAAAGGAGCGGGCCAAGCTCCCCCAAAGAAACAGAAAAAACGGGTACTCCCCTACCGGAATCAAGCTCTTCTTCACGAGTTATTATTAAAGCTTCCGCAAGGTATATTCGTCGTATTCTTTAACCGAAATTGAAAACGCGTCGTTTAAAAACGCGTCCATTAGTTAGGCAACTTTAAAGATAATACTTACAACTTTTATTTCATCTTTTCCTACCGGTGATAATTATTTTAGTCGCGTAACTAGTTATATTTTCTTCCAATTTTAATAAACACGTTTTTATTTATTTTATAGGCGTTTGACAACACCTTGCTGCCCACCTGGTAAAACAGCTTTTAGTGCTTTTAGTGCTTTTTTGTTTGTTCGAATAACTGCCGCTTTACTTTCAAACATAGCTGATTGTGACGAGGCAAGTGGGACAGAAAATTTATAAAGTTATTTAAAAAAATGAAAATAAATTAATAAATTAATAAATTTGCAGGTTTTTAACTATTGGGAACCAACGCATTACTTACAATATGGATATGGAATGCAAACTTGGGAGTATTCACCAATTTACGCAATTAGAAGCTGGGCTTATATACGGTTGCATGCAATCGTTGGCAATGTTTTTAGCTCTTTATTCAATCATGACAAGGTATTGAAGCTTTTATTTTGTTACATAATTTTATACTTGAACAACCTTTAACAATTTTTTTTTTTTTTTGTGATATTAGATTAAAGTTTTTTATGCAATACGCGTGATTTTCGCCGTGATTTGCTCAATATGTGAAATGTTATTCTATCTCTCGGCAGTAAAGAATTTGGGCCCACGTGTTGGCCGATATTTAATATTCACAATGTTGATTAGTGCTGGCATGTGGAATGCTTCAGCTGGTACGTAAAATATTAAAGTTACTAAGAGTTAATATTAATAAATTTAATTTTTTAAAATATTTCTTTTCTTAGCATATCTTCCGTCAACTTTTGCAATGTATACAACTATGATAGCATTCTTTTATGCTCTTAATCCAGTGTCAACAACTTCTGGGCGAAGGATTTATCTTACAATTTTCTGGGTTGGTCTAGGATCACTATTAGCATGGCCTTTTAGTGCGGCTGCTGGTATACCTGCTGCTATCGAAGAATTGGTTCTTCGAACTGCTGCGCTCAGGAACAGATTTGAGCGAATTAAACGATTGATAATTGGCTTCATAGTTTCAACGTGCATGATATTGGTATATATTTCACTTTATTTTACTAGTTATTGTTATAATAAGTATTAATTAAAACATTTTTTTCTTTTTTTAATTATTTACTTCAGATTCCTCTTGTCATAGTTGATTATTATTATTATAAAAAAATTACTGTAGTTCCATTAAATATCGTAATATACAATGTTTTTGGCGGAAAAGACAGAGGTCCTGATATTTATGGTACCGAACCTTGGAATTTTTATGTTATAAATGGCTTTTTGAACTTTAATTTTTTGTTTATTATGGCTCTTATAAGCATACCGGGCTTAGTAAGTTAATGAAAAGATGATTCTTTATTATGAATATTCTTAAAAGTTTTTATATATATATATTTTTTTATTCTGATACAGATCCTTACTTCTGTGATCGACCCTGGTCGTATTTCATCAAAGTCGACAGCTGGTCCAATATATGCTTATCTTTATCTCATTTTTCGACTTTTGCCATTTTATTTATGGCTTTTTATATTTATCATACAACCGCACAAGGAAGAACGATTTTTGTTTGTAGCTTATCCTCTAATTTGTTTAAATTCTGCGGTTGCAATATTCTTAATAAGAGGATGGTTTGATCGACTAATGTCATTTAGACAAATGCATATTACAGTAAGTAAAATAAGTATAAAATCAAGTCATAATAAATTTGTTAATTATTTTTGTTTCATAATTAGAATGCTCGAAGATATTGCATGAAATCGCTTACAGCTGCTATTATTATTTTTTGTGGAGCCATTTCGTTGGCGCGTGTCTCTGCTTTATATGTTCACTATAGTGCACCCATGACTATTTTTAAACATTTTTATTATGAAGAGATACCTAGCCAAATTGCGGCTCGTCAACTACAAGTGGATTTAATAAACAATCCAATTAATCTTTGCATAGGAAAGGAATGGTATCGATTTCCAAGCCATTACTTTTTGCCAGATGGAGTGCGTTTAAGATTTTTGAAATCAGATTTCAACGGACAATTGCCGAAGTATTTCATGGAAAAAACTTACATTGATTTTGATAACAAGACCAAGTTTAGTACTGAACGTGAAGGAACATGGTTAGTTCAAGAAGGATTTAATGATCGCAATTTAGAGGAAATGGATCGATATGTGAGTCAGGGATTTTATTTTATATTTAATTTTAATTTATAATCATCTGATTTTATTCGATCTCTTTTCTTTCTAGTTCAATGTGACGCAATGTGATTATATTATTGATTTGGAATTGAATTATACAAGATCTGCATTAGATAACAATAATGAACAAAAATATATAACTCAAACTGATCAATGGAGTGAAGTTATTTGTAAGCCTTTTTTAGATGCAGAAAATTCTAATAGAATTACAAGGGCACTTTACCTGCCACCTATTGTCTGGCAAAAACTGAAGAGATTTATTAGTTATTTGCCTCTTAGGTTAACTGATAGCGAAACAATCAAGACATTAGGAAACTTGAAATGGGGAGATTATTGTCTATTGCGAAGAAAAGATGAGACTGAAATGATAAGCATAAAGGTATGATTTTGCAAGTTTAATTTTTTTTTTTTTTTTGTTTATTGTAGACAAAGGAATTTTATGTATTTGTACAGATAAATCTCCAATATTTTTCATCATCATATCCTACTTAATAATAATTCAAAGGAATGGAAAGTAATTCCGAAACTTCGTTTTTATTTTGAACATTGGTACCTGAAAATATCAAGTAATATATAAATAATTGGTAAGAAAATTGATATTCACATAATAGTGGTAAATTTTCGAGTTGAAAAATTTAATTGTAATTTTGTATTATTTTTATTTGGATCTCTTGGAAAATTCCTTCGGCAATTTAAAAGAAGTTTATGTAAGCAAGGATTTATGGTTTGTTTTTTTTTACGTATATAAAAAAATATTTACTGTAAGTTTATATAAAAATATTTGGAAGTAATTAGATATTTTTAAATATTTATATAGTGAAAGGATAAAAAATTACGAGTGTAATAATGGTAAGTAATTATACTGTATATACTGTATTTAAATTTTGGTAAATATATATTATATAAATAGTTACAGTATAAAAAAAACTTTAATTTATTAAAAGTAATTCATTATAAAAAAAAATAACAATTCATTATTAATATACAATATTATTATTAATTATATAATTATATAATTTAATTTAAAGATTAAATTCAGTTTTCTCATTATGTTGTTTGAATACATTATCTTTTTTCAATTTGTAAATTTTCAGGATTATATGATATTTCAATATTAGATGAAAAGGATGATTCATTTTGCAATGATGATGGAATTTTTTTTGATAAAGTACTTTCAATAGAAGTAATTGGAACTATATTATTGATATTTGGATTATCAATATACTTATTTAGTTCTGTAGTATTTTTTACTATTTTAACTTCAATTTCATTGTTATAAATTTTTTCATATTTTTGTAATGCATTTGATAAATCATCATTTAATATTAAAAGTTCCTCTAAAATTTAAATAAAATAAAGTTAAAATATAGTGATATTAATGTCAATCAAAAAAAAAACATACCTAATAACTTTTCATTCGTAATAGCAGTAATATATGGCATTATTTTTTCTTGAATATTTTTACATTGAACATATAGTTGCTGTTATAAAATTAATGAAAATTTTCTTATTAAAAAAAAGAAAGGAAAGAAAAAAAGAGACAAATCTAGGATTTCAAATAAATACATAAAGTCTTATTTGGACTTGCATAGATTAACAGCCGAAGTTTGATTACCGATCACTTATGTATTTTTTCAAATTATATAAATTATATAGATTATATAGATTATTATTACTTACATTAATTACTTCATTAGGTATTACTTTTTCAGTAAATGATCTTTCAGAATCACTTGCCAACATTTTTTCAAACATTTTTAGACTTTCCTTAGCAACTCTTATATTTTTTTTTAGGTCCTTTACATAAATTCCTAAACCAAATTCTGAGGATCCATTAAAATCTAAAAATCCAGATGATTTTGTTTCAAATTCAGTTAATAAAAAATCATTTTCCAAATCACTCTTTTGGGACAATTCGGTATTCCTCACACATGCACGAAGAATATCTCGAGAAAAACATGCCATTTCATCATTATTTGGCTTTAAGAATTATACAATATTTAGTATTTTATTTAAATAAAAAATATAATAATACTAGGTAATAGACAACCTACTTGTACATTAACATCCAAGACACAAACACTATGGTTCATTTTAATTGATACGGCTAAAGCCATAACTCCAGCAATATCAATATCTTGATTTGTTGTCAAATCCAAATGAATTAACGAATTAGTTTCGGGAAGATATTCAGCAATCGCTATTGCGCCTATTAAAAAAAAAATGTTATCTCACTTAAAATAATACAGATAATAAAACATTAAAATTAATAAACCTTCAGATGATAAATTCGTATTAGATAAGAATAATCCTTTAAGTGTGGTATTTAATGGTAAGTCATTTCGAAGTGCAATAATCTAATAAAATTATGTCAAATGAGAAAATTATCAAAAATTTAAATTTCATTAAAATTGTATACATACTCCTTCAGATGAAGGCCCACCAACAGGATTCTTACTTATATCAAACAATTCCAAAGTATGGTTATATTTCTAAAAACAAATAAAATATAAGTATAAATACTAAATTAGTGCATTTAACCCAATTTCTTTGCTAGATTAGATGTAGCTTCTATAACATACTAAACTATCCATCAAAAAAACCAATCCCTTAGAATCTATACGATTGTCTTGTATACGAAGTTCTTTCAAACTTTGATTACGATGCAAAGCCTGCGCAATATATTGAATACCGCTCTATATAAGAGGGAAATTAATAATAAGAAATAATTAAATAATAAGGCAATAAAATTAATAGTTACTCTTAAATCATTTCCGGAAGCATCTAAAACTTCTAGTCCATGCCTTCTTTGCAACTTTTCTGCTCTAGCTATTTCTTGTTCATTAAAAGGAGGACTAAGTTGTGTATTACTCGAACAGCAGTTCGAATCATCATAATCTCGTAACATTACCCCAACCCAAATTGCACCAACATGATTGATACGATTGAAGCGAAGTGATAAATTACGTAAATTGGAACGTCGTATACTAGGACCTGTAAGAAAATAAAATAAATTAATAAAAACGAAATACGGGTTTATTATTTAAAAAAAATATAAACCTAAAACTTCCAACACATTATTCTTTAATCCGCAATCATCTAATTTCAAAGTCTCTAATACAGCTCCCAATTTATTAGTTCCTTGTATCAATGCCTGTGCAAGAAATGTAGCAGACTTTTTATCTATATTAATACCGGAAAGGTCAAGATATGTCAAAGTCGTGGACTGTAAAAAATATAAAATATAAATAACAATTGATTTTTTAGAAGAAAACAAAAATCGGGTAAATAAATTTATCGAAATTTTTACCTTTCTGATGTAAACCGCTATATAATTAAATCCATTTGATCTAAGCCTCTTATTATTACGCAAGATAAGATACGGAAGTGTATCATTCACAAGCAGACTGTGGCATATAATTTTCATTGTCTACAAACCATTGTTAGTAAAATTAGAGATAAATATTGCTAACAATAATTATATTAATACACATTCGTACATCGTCTTCAATCTCGCATCTTTCCATTATCAACTTTCTCAGTCCAAACTCAAGAGTGAGAATGTCCGCTATAGGCTCGGCAATTTTCCTGTCAATAATGTCACCAGTTAAGTCAATTACATTTAAAGAACCTCCTGGTTGACTTGCTTTCTAAAATATCATTATGAACTTAAAAGATTGAACATCACTATTATTTGTTAACCATAGTAAAAAAAAAATTTACATACTCTAAAAATATCAACCAAACGATCAACAGGAAATTCCTCTCTGTTTTTGCAAGCAGTCAAATAAAATTGCATCATTTCTTTAGGAGTGTAACTACTTTTTTGTTCAGCCTCGGGTTGCGCTTGAACTTTCCATTTCTGTTTTTCATTCCATTCTCGAAAATCGTATTCATCTTCCCAATCACTATTATCACTCTCACCAGGAATCGGGGAATGTGGATATTCATCCGTTAATTTAGCTACAGAGAAACGAACTCTCTTAAGAGCTTTAGGAGTAAGAGTTGGCGACGGAGGGAAATTTTGCGAGATAGATTGAGAAATTTGATCTGCTGGAGCCGTTGCATTTGTATGAAGTACTTGCGACTCCCTTTGATCCTGCTTAAGAATTTGTTGCTGCTGTTGTTGTTCCTCCTGTTGAGCAGCACTTGAAAATGTGGTAGATGAATTCAGTCTTTTTAATGCACTAGCAAAAAATGAAGCGGTAGAATTGGGAGCTACTGTTGCAGAAGCTACGTTTTGAAGACGAATATTAAGAGTAGATAGCCAATCACGTTTCCATAGTGAATGTGTGTTTAGTGGTGGTGGAGGTTTTAAAATTCCTTTCTTCGGTGTCGTAGCGCTAGCCGCGGAAATTGGGCGACGATATGGAGCAAGTTTTATTTTTGATGTGGAATTCATTGTTTCCACAGGTTTAAAAGGAGCTACGAATTAGGGTTGGAACGTATTAATTGCTAGTGTAAATGCGATAGCGTATACTCTCGAAAAATTAGTACCTTTTATTTTTTCGCAGATCTCTTTATCTTCATTTTGTGAACTTATACTACTCTGTTTTTGTAATAACCATTGAAGAATAGCATCAAACTCACGATCTTTATTTTCATCCATAGCAATTTGAACATTGGAGAGTTCAAATCCCATTGCGACTAATTGTGCAAGGGTTTCGTCAGAATCTACTGTTTTATTTTCGTTTTGTAGCTGCAGCGATTCAACAGAACTTGATGCATTTTGAGAAATGTTTTTATTTTCAACGTTGGACTCTTCGTCTCGCGATATATTTAGTGTGTCAAGAGTATTATTCATGATGATATTTCTTAGTATATAGTAATAGAAAAGATAACTATTTATGTGATGACACAGATTTCTGATTATCACACCTTAATGATTAAAAGGTAACGTAGAATCCATTAAATATCACCATATCAATGGAGCATCGAACAGTAATCTTGCTCGACTGCCATCCTGAAGCACAGACACTTTGTGTGAAAGGACACGATGAAGCTTGTGAGCATCCAAAAGCTTCTTACATTAAAAAAATTTTATATAGCGATTTACTAATTGTACACTATATTAAAATAAATAAATAGCGAATGTGCCATCTTTTCCTTTATGGACTTGTTTTATGGAAGCGACTTTAGAATACTGTCGTATAGTTTTTGATCTTTTCGATTCAAGAATTAGTGCTTCTTCAGTAAATATTTCATATATATTAAGCGATTTAATACAGTATATATAATATTTCGAAAATTTTTGGTTTAATTATAAATATCTCAAATAGGTATCTGTTCATATTGCTGGTGCACCTTTAGAACTTAGCGTTCTCAATAAGTGGCATGAGCAAAATTTAATGCGGGTACAATATTTATTTATCATTACTACTTATCAATTTGTGAAAAGTTTACTAATTTTTTTTAATTATGAACAAAGATTTCTGATAATATCAAATTAATATCACCTTGTTCCGTCACACCTTCCCCTATGCGTATTCCACATGCATTAGAAAATGTTATAAAATCGTTGGAAGCAAATGGATCAAACGATAAAAAGTCTGATAATATAAAAGCAAGAGTAATTTTAATGTTAGTGGGAAAAGTAGACGAACAAGACTATAGGTTTGTTACAATTTCTCTTGTTTAATTTTTAATTCTTAGTTATTTATTCTTTTTTTAATGAGTAGTTATCGAGAGACGCGTGATCAAAAATTAACTGATCTTCGTGATATGATCTACGAGATTTCTCAACATGATACTTTAATGTCAGGACGTTTACATGGTGTAATAGTTTCTTTTTAAAATTTACAATTCATAATTTATTAAATACCTTTTTGAATTTTAGACGGTTGAAACAATGTCATTTTGATGTTTTACGCGTCATACCTTCTTATGAAACAGTTGAAAAAGACATTCCAAGGGCAAAAATCAATATACCAAATTTACAAACGGAATTTTCAATATCAATATATAATATTCCGTTAGGTCGAAGGTATCTAACGCGTTCCATGTTGCATTTAGTTCAGCTGCATTTAAATTTAAATTCTTTGCGACTTTTGGAAGTTCCAATGAAGGTTATTTTTTTTTTTTTTTTGATTTCTTTTATTTCATATAAAAAATTTTTATTACAAAATTTATTTCATTATTTCAGAAATCAAATAATACGAAATCATCGTATGAAGTAAACTTACTATATCCAGCGGGAGATCACATTCCTCGCAGCACACCCATTGAAGTTTCAAAAACGAGAATATACGAAGTTGATCACTTAAATTATCGTCAAGTCGTTCTCAAGTGGGTTCAGAGGCTTCATGGATTAGGTAATCAATTTGTGCGTGAGATTTTAATATATAAACAATTTTCCATTATTAATTATTAATTATATTCGCAGATCAGTTGGCGACAAGCTGTACACACATGGTTACACCAACAGAAATTTCCCCACCAACTCGCGCTTTAATGTCGAGTTTAATGAAGGGAGCAATTTACGCTTTAGCTGATGCATCAGAGTTATCAAACATTGGTGGCATTTCTAGTATTCAAAATGAAAACGGAAGATCCGTACCATTTTCACACATTATATTGTTTCGACAAGGTAAAATATGTAATTTATTTGTCGTTATTATAAAAATATTAACGTTCTTTTTTAATATTAAAATAGATGCATTATATCTTCATTGTCAACATATTAATTATAGACAAAATATTCACATTGAAGATGCTATGTACTTTAATAAAGTTCCTTCTAAACCTAAACTAGGTACTATGTTTAAAAGTGTTGCACCAACCGATCTAATGGTATTGTTATAATTCTTGATTAATTATTATTATTATTATTTTTTTTTAAAAAAAAAAAAAATTTTGCAATTAAAGTAATTTATATTTCCTTAGTTTTTCGAAAAACATATAATGAGGCCTAATTATATCCAGAGTATTAAAAATATTCAAATACCAGAAAGAAAATGTCAATTTATTCAGACTACTACAAATTTGGATATTGAAACCCGTTGGTTATTGTCTATGCTAAGTTCGAATAGTGATGACGGTATTAAATTACAGCTTGGTCTAAACGCAGGGGTATGTCATTTATATAAACGATCGCTTATTAGCGTTATAATTAATTCAAGATTTTTATAGACTCCCGTTTATGAAATAATAACACAATTGAAGATACTATTATGTGTTGATACGCCAAGTGAAGAGAGTGTGAAAATAATAAATGAAGTAAATACTTCTTTATAAATTTTCTTATTACTATTTGAAAATTTTAACTTTTTATCTGTTAATAGATATTGGATCGTTTATTAATGATGGGAAGAAGATCGGACTCATTTCAAGAGTATGCAATTTTATTAATTTATCATTGGCTTTTTTATAAAACTTATCTAATGTTTCGTTTTGTCCATATCAAATAGTCAAAAAAATGCGAATATTGTTTTGAAACAAATACCTTCAATTGCTAAAGTTTTCCAATCTTCCTCTCCAATGCATGGAGAGATATGTGACGTAATTCTTGCGAGGATTCGACCAGACGGTACAGAAAACAAGCAAGCACATGTATCACAACCTCAATCAGATACTTTTGGGTCTTCTTCAGAGCCCATGATTATTGTTAAAGAAGAACCAAAAGAGTCACAAGCAGTATGGCAACAATTTGATCAATTCAATTCAATGACATATCGAGAAAAACAAGATTTTCTGAATGAGCAAGAAACATCATCTTTACAAGCACCTACGAGAAATAGAATGTTTTTATATCGAGGAAAAGGTACTCAAGCATTAGGAAGACGTCGACCACAAGGATATTCTAATTTTGGAAAAAATGAAACAATTTCAAGAGATGATGATACAATTCGACATCCACCTGCTCCTTATCTACGAGTAAAGCCGGTTGATGAAAAAACTATTGCGCTGGAAAAAGATAATTATATGAAAAGATTGGGTAATCCTAAATCTTTACTTTATCAATATTGGTTTGGAAAACAAACCGAACAATTATTACCAGGAGAACAAAAGTAATAATTTAAATTCAGAGTTTATATTTACATGATTATATTTTGAAATTATACTTCAATTTTTCTAAATTCTATACAATTCTTTACTAATTAAAGAGTTACAATATTTATATATTTACAGTATACAGTTACAACTTGAATTCTAATAAATTAGAAAAATAAAAACTAACCTATTTAAATAAAGCTTTACTGAAAAATCTGAATGCATAAAACTACAAAATTGGTTGAGTGTGGGATTGCCTTTCAGGGAAAGCGTGCATGTGTGTTGAGTAGAGTTCTTCGTAATCGCTTTCATACTCATCTTCATACTCATCTTCATACTCATCTTCATACCCACTATCATACTCACTATCATATTCACTTTCATATTCCAATTCTGTTTCACTTTTGCAGCTATCTGAGTCAAACCCGCTAGTTTTTATCTTTATTTACACATATTTTATCTAAGGTTTTATAAACTTTTTGAAACAAGTTACTGACAACCGTAACGATGTATCTTATAGTTTCACAAATCTCTGTGTTACAAGCTATAACAAAATTTTTGATTTAGAAAATGATTTGAATAATATTTAATACTTGATATTATCGACTTGTGCGACATAAAATCGTCCTGTTTCCTCCAGATTCCGGAAATACATTTTCGGACTTACTCCGAACGTAACATTTTTTTTTCCGAGCCAAACTACCTATAAAAGCACTATGTCTGAACCTGCTTCTATTTCTACTTCTGCTACCGCTACTGGAACCGCCCCTTTACATGGAATAACTGTTGCCAATTGTGGAAAGAATTGCGGTTTAGGTTATAAACCAATTTAAAAAAAATATAAAAAGTCTCTCTTTTATAGAAGAAAAATATTTAGACCAACCTCATATACGAGTGGCAATTCATAAAAATAGTAAAAAACCGGTTCTAGAAAATTGGGTAAACCATCCCGAGAACCGAACTATTGGCAAATTACTAAAAATAGGTAATTATGGTTTGAGAACTGGGACTAAATTAGGAGAATACTATTTTTGTGCTTTGGATATTGATAAGAAAGGAGAGTAATTTCATTTTTCGCAAATCTCTTATGTTAAAACTTCCAAAGGAATTCATTATTATTTGCTTTTTGAAAAGTTGCCAGAAAATATTCCTTTATTCTATCAGGGAGAAAAGATTGGGAGAGTAATGTCCTTTGGAAAGCAAATTATTGGTAGTGGTTCTATTCATTCAAGTGGAATTATTTATCAGTTTATGGAGAGAGGTGAAGTTTTTTTATAGTTTGAGGGCGAGAAGGAATTGGCTGATTATTTGAATGGTTATGGAATTATTTTGGAAAAGGAAAATGGCTCTATAAATTAATGAGAAATAAGTTTTATTTGAGATTTAGTTAGTAAAATTTTGGGTAATGATCTTCATTTTCGGTATGTAGAAAGCATGTCATGTATACAGTGCTTTGTATGTCACGTACGGTACATACGTATTTATTATAATATTATTACTTTATACAATAAAAATGTACGTATGTACGGTACACGATATCTAAAATCACGTGACCATAAATTTATTTTTTTTAAAAACCAATTTTTTTATGAACTAAATTTTATTTTTTTAAAAATTTTTTATACTAGTAACATAATCTTTATTGAAATTTCATAAAACCAAACTTTTTTCAGTCTAGAAATACGACTAAATTTTCAGTCTTTGTTGTTTATTAGCTATTTCTAATGCCTCAGCTTCAGCTTCTAGTTTTCTTAACTTCAGCAATTCGTGCTTTAATAGCATGCTCTCTTAATACCATTTTTTTCTCTTCAATTTCTAATTCAAGTATCTCTGTTTTCTCATTTTCCAATGGCTCTTCTTTACTTTTTTTTGATGATTTTTTATTAGTAGAGAGAGAAAGTTTCTTTTAAAAGAGGGTTTATTGAATAAATGATCATTTGTTAAATCAATAACTGGTTCTTTATTTTTTTGATTATGAAATCCTATATTTAATTAAAAAAGTTGGCTTTTACATGAAATTAATAACTCATAATTATTTTCATATTATTATTACTACCTTTGCATATTATTGATTCACTTGTTCGCTTAATTTCACTTTTATCCTGATATGTATAAGAAACACCTGTATTGTTATGTATAATTTCAATTGTTGTTCATTATATTTTTTCCCTCTATAAAATAAAAAATATTTTTAAAATTATGTATAATAAAAATTATCAAAGTAAATATAAATAACTAACCTTAAAATGGCTGATAGTAATTTTAATTGCTTTCCTTCTCTATTTACCATAAAATGAGCCACCTTCTCTGCATTATTAGTATTTGTTCCACTTTTACACCAAGTTTTATGATTGATATTTGAAATAAATTGATTTAAAGAAGATAATATATATGGTTGTTGGTAATATTTTAACCAATCTACAAAAAAAAATAAAATTTGTTAAAATAATATAATTACTTAATTTAAAGTATTAATAATAAACTAATATATACCTTTTATTCCATTATTATTTGTATCTTTTATTTGTTATAATAGAATATTTACTTCTTCTTTACTAGATGCATTAGAAATTTGTCTTATTAACTTTTTTGTATTTTTTTCAAATGCTCTGTAATGCAAATTTCTTAAGAAAAAAAAAAAATAACTTAAACATTTAAAGATTTATAAAAAGTAATAAATAATGGAAAATAAATATATAAATACCATTCAAATGCATAAGACAAGACTTAAAAATAAAGGTCAAATGGATCTTCTAATCTCTTTCACAATTCAGATCATGTAAAGCTAATTCTAAACCCTTAGCTTATGCACTATCTAGATCAACTAGAATGCATTTGATATCATCTTTATGAATACCTGTGTTGAAACTTAATATATTATTCACTTACTTCATAAATTACTTGAAATAAAGATAAAAATAATCTATAATATCCTTCAGCTGTAAAAACATTTGTAAAGATTTTATAAAATAATAATACTAAAATAAAAGTTATATATATTTAATATATATTTTCTTATATATATATATTAATTGAATTTAAAAAAATTTTATTTACTTAATTACTTAAATGATAATTAAAATCATATATGTTTATTTTAAATTCATTATTTTCTCCTTTTACTTATTTAAAACTAACATCAATTTAAAACTACTCAAGTGCAATCAACTTTTTAGCTTATTCAGTAAATATACATATAATAATTATATAGCCATTATTTGTAAAAAAAATCTAAAAAAATAATTATTATTAATATAATTATGGATGTAAATTGGATTAAAAACTTATCAATTTTATGAACATAATTAGTTAAATTGGAATTTGCAGTTAATGCATTATGATATACACTCATAACTTTTTGCCTAAATAATATAAATTTTTATATGCTTTTTCTATTAAATAATGCAATTTATCAATATTATTCAATGATACATGCGATTTCTTTGTTAAAATATATATTGATTAAATTTCCTATTAATTAATACAGTATATTATTAATAATATAATAATATAAAATTTCTATTAAAATTTAACATTTATTTGATAATAAAGATCTTGAAGTAATAGTATTATGCTAATAAATTGTCTGTTCAATTAAAAGTTGCAAATTATTTTTAATTTTAGCTAATGTTCTTTCTGGTGAAGGTGAAGGATGATTATAAACATTAATACAAATAAAAGCAACAAATGGATATTTAGTAATATTATAAGAAATAATTTTAATAAATTGTACTGGATAAAATTTTTCAATTATCATATTATTACAAATGGCAGTTTCATTATTTAAATAAGGAATATCTTAAATTTTAAAAAAATTAGATATTGCATATTATATATACTGATATACAGTATATCTGATATATAATATAAAACAAAAAATTAAATATTATCACATTTTTTGCATCTACAATTTTTAGGAATTATCATTACATTGTGCTATTTCTTGTGCCTAAATAGTTTTCAAAAAATAAATATATAAAAAATTAAATTAAAAAGTATTATTTATAGATATAGTACCAGAAAATAGATTTTGAAGAAGTAAATATTTATTTCTTCTAGTTTAATTTTAATAAATCGATGCCATTTTTCATTTTGTTTGAATTTATCATATCAAAATATGTAACTATTTGAGTCTGATAATTGCTAATTTTCTAATATAAGCATCTCCATTATAATGTATATTCTCTTTTTTAAAAGGATAAGAAGATTTTTTTACTACTAAAAACAAACTAATTAAATTTTAAAGAACTGGTTTTACAAATTAATTATTTTTTAAATGGCTTTTGAGCTGATTTGCCCAGTATTTTTTTTTAAGTGTTATATAATAATATCCTAAATATATTGAATAATAAATTTGCATTATCAAATATTAATATCACAAGTTTGATTACATATACTTGTCATTTAAGGTTACATTATTATACAAATTAGTGATATTGCCTAAAAAGTAATCAGCCAAATTTGTATTACAACCCAGCTGAAAATAATGTAACCAATTGCTTAAAACTAAAAAAATCAAGATCCATCAAAATTTTTTATATTGAACAATTAGTTAAAAAATTTTTTTTTAGTAATGCTGGATTTTGACCTTTAAAAATGCTATAATTATTCAATACAAGAGGTGGAATAATCACAAAATTGATATTTTTTTATTAAAATATTATTTATATATTGATTTAAAAGTTATAAACAAGAAAAAATAAAAAAAAGTATTAAAATTATTTATTTCTATTAATTCTATTAAATACAGATTGTCTAACTTATCATACTATATTTTGCTTATATTGAGTAATGTATCTAGTAATTTCAAATAATTAATACTTTTAGAATATCAGTTCTTCTAAACTACTTTTTTCCACTAATTTGTAAATTTATTTCACATTTCCTGCATACTATATCTATTGCTCTTATCTGAGACAGATCACAAATTAAATTAAAGGAATAATTATTAAAAAACTTACATATATGTTTTGGCTTCTTTGAAATTATTATCTTGCTGTTGTATATATATTTTAAAAGTTTTTGAATCAAAATTAACATTATAATACTTTTGATTGACAAATTAACTGATAAAATTTGATGCCTTGGTATATTCTTTTATTCTTTTTAACTAATATTTCACCAAAAAAGGAACATTTCTTAATATTTGAAGAACCATCTAAATTATTTGTTGAATATTAGATCTTATTATAATAAAAAAATTCAGTTTAATTTAAAATATATTTGCCATTAAATTAAATTTAATATATATTTATATTTGAAAAAACACCTATGTGATTCTTCTAACTAATAATATTAAATATCATTATAACTTTTTCTAGCAAGATATCTGAATACTTCATAGGAACAGTTGTATAGATTACTTTTTGAACTTATAATAATTTAGGAGTAAAAAAAGTAATATTCCATCATTTTTTTCATCTTCACTTTTATCTTCATTAGTATTATTTTTATTCTATTTGTTTTATTTATTAGAAATAATAAAAATTATCCTATCCTATATAGAAAATAAATTTTAATATAAGTAATTTTATGGGGGTTTAGGAATATCAGAGTTTTTTTCCCAAAGGGAAAAAAACTATGATATTCCACTTACATGAAATTACTAAGTTATACCCAGGAGTGTGTGACTTATGATCACTGTATTATCACGTGTATGATTATAAACTTTTTTACTTTTTTTATACTTTTTATACTTTTATTATCACATGTACAAATTATTTTATTTTCATCCCTTAAATATTTTTCTACGTTCTTTAAACAAAATAATTTTCTTTTACATACAACTGAAGACTGAAAGGATAAAGATGGTAATTAAAAAGCATATTTCTATTTTCTTTTTTTTTTTTGAAATAAATAGATAAACTAATAAAAAAAATTGATATTTCAAGGAAACCTTATCAACTAGCTCAAATAATTCTACTAAAACGAACAAGTTAACAACATATAAACGATTTGTTATTCCTACAAATAAAGATTTACAAGCTATTCAAGCTTATTCTCACGTTACTAATACAGATGATAGTACTAAAACTTGGATGAATCTTTTTAATTCCTATAGAGAAACAGCCAATTTTACTAATCCTCTTGAATTATTGAATGATACTACATTACAAGAACAGCTTTGTCAATTTTTTTGTGGTGTTAGAAAATCAGGAAAAAAAGAATATGCACCTTCTTCATTACATGTAGGCTTTGCTGCAATTGCTAGAGGATTGTCAGATATTTTTTATCCAAATAGAATCATTAATATTCATGATAAACATAAATAGAAACGATTACATAAAATTTTTGATGGTCGAATTAAACAAATTCAAGACAATCAAGATACATCCCGTAAGAAAACTGATGCACTTGAAATGTGTGAGATTAAAACTATCTTTGATTCACCAAATATACAAACTGATACACCAAAGAGTCTTACATATCGTGTTTGGTTTTGGTTAACACTTCTTTGCAATCTTTTCCATATTTATTTTTTTACTTTTAATCTGAAAAATTACATATTCTTTTTAGGGTTTATTCCTGCTTCTCAATTATTACGATATGATCAACTTGAAATACAATCTTTAGAACAAGACCATAAAATAACTCAAGATTCATCAAAATTACCAGTAATTAATATTGAAAATATTAATATTCAAAATTGTAATAATATAAAAGTAGAAGTTATTGTTAAGCCATTTGAATAGTTAAATAAATAGTGTAGTAATGTAATTTTATATATTTGTAATAATGAAAAATAATTTGAGGAGTATAAAAAAGTTTATTGCTATGAAAAAAATCGTATAAAAATTTTATGGGGAAAAAAAGCTTATACTTTTAATTAGGGAAATTACAATATTCTATATAGTGTTCTGAACAGATCGGATCAGACCGAATTTGAGTTAAATCTGATCTGATCCGAATTCGGATCAAATAAAATTAGATTCGATCTAATCCAATTTGAATCCAAATTAGATTTGATCTGATCTGATCTGAATCTGAATTAGATTTGATTTGATCTGATCTGAATCCAATTTGATTTGATTTGATCTAATCTGGATCCGATCTGGATTCGAATCAGTTAATTATTAATATTAAATAAAAAACGTTATGCAACGTTTTTTATTTTTAATTTAAAAAATAAAAAACTGTTTCGCAACAATTTTCAGTTATTTAATAATAAAAAACGTTGTGAAACGTTTTTTATTTCAATTAATGAATAAAAAATGTTGTGAAACGTTTTTTATTTCAATTAATGAATAAAAAAACTGTTTCGCAACAGTTTTTAATCATTTTAAATAAAAAACGTTGCGAATCGGTTTTTTATTTTAATTTAATGAATAAAAAACCGTTTTGCAACAGGTTTTAATAGTTTTTATAAAAAAATGTTGCAAACCGTTTTTTTATTTTAATTTAATGAGTAAAAAACCGTTTCGCAACAGTTTTTAGTCATTTAATAATAAAAAATGTTGCGAAACGTTTTTTATTTCTATTTAACAAATAAAAAAACTGTTTTGCAACGGTTTTTAATAATCTTAAATAAAAAATGTTGCGAAACGTTTTTTATTTTTAATTTAAAGAATAAAAAACCATTTCGCAATGGTTTTCAGTTATTTAATAATAAAGAACGTTGCGAAACATTTTTTATTTCAAGTTAATGTATAAAAACCTGTTGCAAAATGGTTTTTTAACGAATTTAATAAAAACCGTTGCGAAATGGTTTATTTAACTAAAAAAACTGTTTTGCAACAGTTTATTTAACTAAAAACACCATTTCGCAACGGTTTATTTAACTAAAAACACCATTTCGCAACGGTTTATTTAACTAAAAACCTGTCTCTTATACACATCTAGATGTGTCATTTCGCAATGGTTTTCAGTTATTTAATAATAAAGAACGTTGCGAAACATTTTTTATTTCAAGTTAATGAATAAAAAAACCGTTTCGCAACGGTTTTTAATAATCTTAAATAAAAAATGTTGTGAAACGTTTTTTATTTCTATTTAATGAATAAAAAACCGTTTCGAATCTGTCTCTTATACACATCTAGATGTGTATAAGAGACAGGTTTTTAATAATCTTAAATAAAAAACATTGTGAAACATTTTTTATTTTATTTAATGAATAAAAAAACCGTTTCACAACAGTTTTTGATAATATTAAATAAAAAATGTTGCGAACTATTTTTTATTTCTATTTAATGAATAAAAAACTGTTTCGCAACGGTTTTTATTTCAATTTAACGAATAAAAAATGTTTCACAATATTTTTTAATCGTTTTAATAAAAAAACGTTGCAAAACGTTTTTTTATTTTAATTTAATAAATAAAAAACCATTTCGCAACGGTTTTTAATAATTTTAAATAAAAAATGTTGTGAAACATTTTTTATTTCAATTCAACCAAAAAAAACTGTTTCACAACAGTTTTTAGTTATTTTAATAATAAAAAATGTTGCGAAACATTTTTTTATTTCAATTTAACAAATAAAAAAACCATTTCACAACGGTTTTTGATCATTTAATAGAAAATCGTTGCAAAATGTTTTTTAACCATTAACTTAACTATAAAAACGTTTTACAACGTTTTCAACTTTCATTGATCAAATCGGATCTGATCTGATCCAGTTGCTGATCCGATTTGATTTGATCTGAATCAGATCAGATTTTTTTGATTCAGATTGGATCACAGACCATAAAATATATAATCTGATCTGATCTATCTCAGATCAGATCCGCAGATACGAATCGGATCAGATTTTTTTGGAACACTAATTCTATATCATAAGTTACACTTAGTGTAACGGGGTATAATTTTATTTATTTACCTTATATTTATTAACTATTTCTACAGAATCCATAAAATCTTCTGCATTATATTTTTTAATATCTAAAAATTTAATAATAAAAGACATTATAATTTGTAATTAAAAATTAATTTTTGAAAGATATAAAATTCAAGAGCAAAATTGATTTTTTTAAAAAAATATTTTATGCATTACATTGTTGAGTACATGTTTTCGATTTGTGATCAAAAATAAGTTAACAATTACCTACCATCTTTATTTAAAGTCAAGTTGAATAATTGATTTATATAAATATAAGAATATAATTATTAATTATTTTGGTAATATTGTAATTAAATCTTCATCAGCAAGTTTGAAAAGTGTTGATTCACACCAGTATACGCGTTGATCAACACCAGCTAGTTGTTCAACGCGTTTTACAATATTAATCAACACCCGTATACTAGAGTATATTAACGCATAATGCTAATATACGCGTTGTTCAACTCTAATGTGTAGTTCAACACATTATGCATTGTTGTTCAACGCGCTGTATATTAACACTTAATTAAATTAAATTATATTTATTTTTACTCACCTTAGGAATTGAACCAAACACCTCAACTTATACTATTAATTATCTCACGATCTAACCACTGTACTATTTAATTTAAGTATATATTATGTATATTAAAATTAATATTTAAAAAAAAATTATTTCGGCATTGC